ATAATAAAAATTTTTAAACAAAATCTTTAAATTTTTATTGCTCAAAAGTTTTTTATTAATTTTAAAAAAATTTTCTAATAAAGTTTGTAAAGTATATTTTCAATAAAATATTTTATAAATAAACTGTATCCTATATTATTAATAATTTATTATGTTATTTAAAAAATACTAAATTTAATTTAAAAATCTAGGCAAATTTGTCTAAAAAACAGTTTAAAGGATAAGAAAGATTAAAATTTTTAATATTAAATAAAATTTTAATTTATATTATTACAACCCTTATCAAGTATAGTTTCAGTAAAATGCTTTCTTAAATTTTTTAATTTTTTTAAAAAATATTAGTCTAATCAAGAAGTAAACTTTTTAAATGTTTATAAGTTCTAATTATAAAAATTTAAAAAGGTTTATTTCTTAATAAAACTGATGTTTTTAAAAAAATTTAAAAAATTTAAGAAGACATTTTACTAAAACTATAATTAATGAGGATTATATTAAAATAAATTAAAAATTTATTCAATATTAAAAATTTTAATCTTTCTTATAATATAAAAATTTCGATATTTACTATATTTTATTATAAAAATAATCTACAGGCCTATGACTTTTGTCAGAGGAGTGTACTTATTCTTGTTTCTTTATATATTTCTTTTTAAAATTTTTACTAGTTTGTAAAGAATAAAAAAAAGAAGACCAAGACTATTTAGCAATATACTTCTTCTATAAAGACTACTAAATAAAGACAGAAACATTAGCAATAATAATAACTTGAAGCATATTTCTAAAAGATAAAAAAAAAGTATCATTTAAATACAACTAAAAAAAGCAATTTGAGGCCAAATAAATAAAGAAAAAATAAAAATAAAAATAAAACTTATTAAAGGTTTTTTATAAAAGAAAGTAATTAAAAAGATATAAAATATTCTGATCTTGATACAAAAAATAAAAAATTTTCTAATAAATATTGTAGATATTATATAAAATAAAATTTATAAAACAATTTAAAAATATAAATATAATAATGTATCTAAATAAGAAAAAAGTTAAGAAATTAATATAAGAAAAAAAAAGAACAAGAATAAAGTAGTAGAACAACAAAACAGACTATTATACAAAGTGTTATCAAAATTAAAAAACAAGAACTCTAAAAAAAAAAAAAATAGAAGATTTATAAAAAAATACAATCAGAAAACTAATTAGTAATAACAAGAGGCCTTATTGGAACAGCCTTAAAGACTAGTCTAAATAGCTTTCTAATAGTAAGTATAAACTTATTCTAGTGTGACAAATTATCTCTGTACACTTGTACAATAGCTGAGATATCAAATCTATAAATTAAGCTAATATTTTTATAATTATATATTTAATTCTTTTAATAAAAGATTTTGGCAAAACTGTTAAAGAGTTTTTTTTTTTAAAAAAAAGTAATTGTAATTAAAATTTTAACTTAACTATTATCTCTAAACTTATACAAACCAAAAATTAAAATACTATTCATTATATTAATTACTTTAAACATCTTAAAAATATTACTACTAGCTTTTATAAAATTAAATTATATTCTACAAACTTTTTTTATAATTAAGCAAATTTATTTGTTAAACAAAAAATTACAAAACTTATTATTAAATTTAATAATTCAAAATTTAATATTTTAAATTATTTTATATAAAACAATTACTTAATTTTTTTAAAAGTTTATATTTTTATTAAAAATATTATAACTATTTAGAAAATTATCAAATAGTCAAATATAAATTTTTTTCAAAATATTACTAATATTAAATAGATACTTAAATTTAAAATCTTTTTTTTATTAAAAGATAACTTACAAAAATGTTCTTTTCATATTAAAATTTTTATTAATAACTTACTTATTATATAAAACCTTAATATTTGTTATCTTTATCTTTATATTATACTTAATTGCTTTTATTACACAAATCTTAAAAATACTTTTTATCTATTTTTATGTTTTAACAATTCTATAAATATTTTACTATTACTTAATAATACTATATATAATACTTGTTTATTACTTTAAATTACTAATATAACTTCAACAAATTTATTAAATATTTTTTTAATTTTTATATTTAATTCTTTAAACCCTTAATACAAATATATTCTATATGCCATTACTAAAACCTTTTTTATTAATACTTATAATAATATCAAAACACTTATTAACAAACAAATAGATATTTTTTATTTATCTTTTAAACAATCTATTAAACTAGTTTTATTATAATTTTTAATCTATTTATAATATATATCAATATCAATGAGAACAATCTCATAACATTATATCAAAATCCAAACACATTACAATTATTTTATCAACTTTATTTAATTTTTTAAACAATACTACAATATTACAACTTTTTGTCTTAATATATTAATACTAATTTTTTTATTATTAAATAGTTTTTATAAAGTTATTTATTAACTATTTGTATTAACTAATATTCAGAAAAGAGTGTAACAACTTAGTAAAGTGATCAGGTTGTTAATCCTCTAAGTGATAAATTAAATGTTCAAATCTCATTGATAATAAAAGTTTAAATAATTTTTTATATAATATTTATATTATAGTAACTGTTATTAACAATTGGGTTAGAATATCTATAATAGTAATTGTATTAGCATAACTGGCAGATCATAAAACATCTGTATAACTAATTATATAGAAAAATACAAACTGACAAATTAAATAGTGCAAATACTAAATAAGTCTTTGTAGCCATATAAATCTGTTAAAATTAGATAACAAGAAGTCTATTTAAGAAGTTCCAAGTAGAGAGATAATCAAATTTTTGATAACTCTACTGTAAAGGCTAATTTAAAAAACAAATACCAAGGTTATAATATCTAATCATAATATCTAAATAGACAAAAACTTTTGAGTTAAAAGTCTTGAAAATACTACCAAATTGATTACTAGAATGAACTAAAGAAAAAGGATATTAGGTTAATTTGATATATTAATAAACTGATCATAGTCTTTTATAGGCTATCTAAATTAGAAGTCTGATAAAAAGATAGATGAAAAAGTAGAGATATATTAAAGTACTGAAATTATACTGTAAAGTAGATGCTAGAGTTTGTATGAACTCTACAAGAGCATAGCAGTTAAATAATATAACTCTAACTGCAAGTATTGGTTTTGACATAGTGATATCTAAGATAGCTATAAAAATAGATACAAAAGACTTTGGAAGGTTTATCTTAAGGATAAAATAGTTCTAAGATTGAAACAATAATCTGAGTTTAACCTAATTAATATCAACACAAATGCAAGTTTAAAGGGTTTAAAATAAAACATAAAAGTAGAAATGTTAAGTATAACAATTAGTGAAAAACCTTTGAACAAACTCCTTAAATAGGTAATATAGAAAAGTTATACATGTATCTAATTGTACACTTTTTCTGTAGTGGTTTATAAAATTATATTACTAAAAAAGTTATTAATAAAAGACAAAAGACCAAAGTAATTATCTTAAAAAAAACTAATATTTAGACAATTACTTAAAGGTTTTTTTTAACCATTTTAATTAAAACTAATTTGAAATAATTAGTTATAGTACTTATAGAAAATAAAAGATATAATGTCATATTGGATGCCAAATAATAGCATAAATATAGTTTAGAAACCTTTAATTTTAAAACTTATAATTTTATATATAAAAAATTTTTACTTAAAAAATCATATTAATAAAAAAAAAAAGTAATGACTTAGTAAAATAGATAAATTATTATTTTATTTAAATAATAGATTATAAGTTCAAAACTCAATAATAGTAAAAATTTAAATAATTATTATATTATAATAACTATTTATTGTTAATTAGTTAAAATAAAATATTTGTAACTATAGATACACTAGCATAATTGACAGATTATAAAATCATTTATGTAACTTTGATTATACAAATAAATATAAACTAATACTAAACAATACAAATTTAAAATAAGTTTTTGTAACTATATAAATTTATAAAACTAAAAAAACAGAAACCTATTTAGAAAGATTCAAATAGAGAAGTAATATAAATATTTAATAAATTTAAAAAATAAATATTAATATAAAAAAAACAAAAAAACTTTGATAAGAAAAACACTAACCAGCCATCAAAATTCAAATTAAAAAAAAAATATCAAATTAAACTTAGTATGCTAAGAACCAATTACAATTCTATTAGGCTATTTGAATTGAAAATCTGAGATCAAAGCAAAAATATATTAAAGTACTAAAAATATGCTATGAAGTAGATACTGAAGTTCAAATAAACTCTGAAAAGCATAGCTTAGTTAATAGTTTATAGAGTAAGTAGGTAAGTTAATAGAAAATGCCTAAAGTTTTACAGTAAGGTAATATGTTCTAAAATAAGTAATAGCTTAACAAATATACAGAAAGAAGATTAAATGTTAAGTTAGTAGTACTTAGATGTATGAAAGCCAGATGTTATTCATCTGATGCAGTATAGAGACTAGAAAGTTTAAATAAGTAATCTTTTAGTATATTACAGATATGGTAGCTAATGTAGAACCTGCAAGTAAACTACTTAACTAGGTAATAAATTTACCAAAGAGATAATCGCTACATACAGAGAACAAAACTAACTATAATTTTCTTTGATTTTCTAGCACAGTAGATAGTCAATAGATCAGATGGATTTCACTAAAAAAATTGGCATTTATTTTTCAAACTTTAGACTTTGATAATTTTAATAACAAATCACCCGATTTATTAAAAGTAATTCTAGCTTATAAAAAAAAAAAATCTTCTAATTCATGATTTAAAACTTTCAAATAAAGAAGTTATCATCTTTTAAAGAAGTTATCATCTTCACCAACATCGCTTTTACGTACTCCCACTTTATTAAGTATCCATGCGGTACCGATTGGTTCTTGTTGGGATTGAGCTATCCAATTGTGATTCGGTGAAATGATGAGGACTGGATCAAATTTTTTCACTTTATTAAAGCTGTTCATCGTACTTTCCAATATCTTCGTTGGATGCTTGCGGGAGATAATCCTAAGAGCTTCTCGAGTGGATACAAACATTTAACTACAATCGCTTTGATAAAATTTCTTTATGTGTCGTTTTCTGCAATGTTTAACACTGAATGGCGCTAAATATATTAGCGATAATAAAAGCAATGTCGACAAATGGTAGAGCCTAAAGAATGTGACAGTGGTAGAAATGAAATAATTTAAAGAGGCGATAGAGATAGGAAACAAACCAGCCAGCCGAATAAAGAACATGTTGGAAGGATCACGAAATACGTAAACCAGGTAAACCATTCGATAGGCGATAAGAGTGATGTGAATGAACTAATTTTTTGGAAAATTTCTTGTAAAAAAACATAGTTTGGAAACTTGAGAGCTATTTTGAGAGTGTAGGTAAGAATCTCGGGTATAAGTCATTGCTTATTCTTTATTTATAGTCCGAATCAATCATATTACTCGTCTACGCATGAAAAATCAAATTGTATCATGTAATTGATTAATTGATTTACTATCAATAAAGAATTCAAGGCTATATATTGTATCAAGAATATTTTTCGTGGGATGTAGTCATAAAAGAAGTGAGACCTTAAGTCCCATTTAGATGAAATGCATTTTAAATAAATCACGTCCTATAAGAAAGTTGTTATATAATATGCATGATTTATTGAAAAAAAATACGTCGCCGAACTCCTGGTTGAGATGTATTCACGTATTGCCAAAGTATAGTTGTTAGTAGAATTATTTTTGGCATATGCCGTATTTTTTGCTGTGATTCTTTTGTGCCGTAATGCCGCAATGTCGCAATGTCGCAATGCTACAATGCCGTAATGCTAGTGTCGAAATACTTTAATGCAAACTTTAAAATATTTACAAGCCTGAAATTTTTTTTACTAATTAGAGTCATTACGTATTTGATGATCGTAAAGTGAAACACAAATTGCATGTTTATATAAAACAGATGGCTGAAAGATTAAATATTTATCATTATGCGGATTAGCTTGAAAAATATTTCCGTTGACCAATAAAATTCAATATCAGGCATATCATAAGATAGATGTTTATGAAAACATCTTTTACATATTATTTTTGAAATAATATCTTCGAACCCTGCAAGATTCTGTCCCTAACCTAAAAGCTCGAAGTTTTTACTAGAAATGTTTTATTACAAGCACGAATAGCCAATAACTATTTGAAAGTGTATCTAGTTTGGCCACATTATTAATATGATCCTACCCGGAATCGATGACCGATTTATGACAAGATTCCGTGTAACTCCAATTGACCAATAGAAACGTGAAAATGCGAGATTATGCGAATTTTTTTAAAATTATGCATTATGGATTTTGTAAAATTACGTAATTTAATTGGTTAATTATCACGGTAGATCCATAAAGATTAACCAATCAGACGAACTTCTTCCTATGAAACAGTCCGTTCCTATATGCAAAAATATCAAAAAGGTCAGTTCTCAGAGTTACTATGTTGCTAATCCGAACTTTATAAGAAAATTTGTAAGGAAATTATAGATTCTCTGAAGCTTTATGTTCGGTTTTTACAGAGTTTACCAAGGGTTCAGATTATCCAGGTTTGGATTTGAAAGTCCTCGCTACACTTTGGACAATACTTTGGACAATGAAATGAGTTCAAACACTAATTCAATATACAAACCGTATCGAATCAGATCAATTTTATGGTTTCGAATTTAGTTTCCGTACGCCAATTTTTGATAGACCAGTGATTTTACCAACCATGTAATAATAATAAAATTAAATATTCTTTTTTTATATAATAAGCCATTAATTTTTTTTTAATTTTCTAAAAAGTGTAATAATCAATTTTTAAAAATATTAATAATTAACACAACTGACGAAATTTAGTATGCACGATTCTTAATATGTATAATAGAATTTTTTAATAAATATGTATGCAGTATATAAAGAAATTTCTTAAAGAATATATATTACGATAATCATAGCTATTTGTGAAATCGAATCAATATTCAATGATAGGATATGAGCCAAGTTGATCTAACTGAGCCAGGTGTAGATACAATGGATCCTGTAACCCAAATAAAGAGAGGCCCATGCTCAAATGGAAGTAAAAATCCGTAATTGAAGTGCAAGTGCATCATTTGTTTCAGCCCAAGCCTAAAAAATATTGTGTTTTTACTCTATTTACTCTAAATGCAAAAATTAGTAAAATTTCATATTATCCAATAGAAATGAAAAAATTAACTTTTTACGTAAAATACTGTAAAAAAATTGTACGTAATAGTAAGCATTATTTAACTGACAAACGGACTGACGGACGGACTGACGGACGTATCGGTATGTATGTGCGTACATAATTACGAGAGTGCATGGTCACGTTATTGACACAATACTATGTACGGGATTATTTGAGTTATCATATCATACCTTAAAATCCGATACACAAGAAAATCAAGAATATCTTTTGTTATAAATTTATATTAGATACATATATACAAATATACAATATACAATCTTACAATATGTGCACTTAATGAAGTATTTTTTTTTATTGACCAAAAAAAAAACAATAAAAAAAAACATTAATTTAAACATTGATTAATTTTTATTGATTATTTAAAACGGTCAAAGATTAGATTTTATTAGAACCACATGTTTTTATTTAATTTCTATTGGTTAAATAAACATTTATAATTGAATTAAACGATTTGATAAGTTTAGGATAAACGTGAAACATGGATCGAATATTGATTACAACAAGAATTGCATATAGTAGGACAATTGTTGATCGCCTTCACATATTCTTTGTATTGCTCATATAAATTATACCCAATCTTGAATTGGTTTAGTAACATGCAATATTCTTTGTACGACCGTCGGCCATGTATCACCAAATTCCACGCATATTCAAAAGACCGTGTTTGACTAGTCAGTTTCTCTTTACTTCTTGTCGTTAGGAACTCAAGAAGTTTTTGGAATTTTATTAAGGTCGTTATAAGGTGTTCATAAAGTAGATCCCGACTTCAATACACATCACACTGGACCAACAAAGTAATCCAGCTATGCCGTCGGAACATTCCCGTTCTTCCTCGGACTCATCAGCAACCTCAGTTCCCACAATTAATATTAGACGTGCTCCTACACCTCCTGTTAATAACAATTCTAATCAATCTAATCTAACTACCAACTCTAACAATGAACAACTTTTAGACGCCAGTGATGCTCGTTCAAATGGTCAATCAAAAGATAGAAATCGTGATAAAAGCACTTCAAGAGATAGAAGCTCCTCACGGGGAAAAAGTCCTGGTCGAAAATCTGATAAACGAGGTAAAAGTTTGTCTCCTGGCCGTAAAAGTCCATCGGGAGAGAAACTTTTAAGTACTTCAAAAAATTCGGCTTCTAATAGATCTAGAAGCCCAAGTCCTCGTCCAAAGAGTCCTGGTCGTAGTAATTCATCACGTTCAAAAAGTCCTCGTAATAACCATAATAGAGTAGGAAGTGAAAATTCAAATAATAGATCTAACTCTCAGGATGCTCGTGTAGGATTAGGCAGTAAAATTCTACATCCTTGGGTTGCTCCTTCTCTCAACTCAAACGGTGAAACAAACAATTCAAAAAGTGCCAATAGATTAAGTCTTCCAAATTTTACTGATAACGCTAGTCTAAATAATGCCATACGTGAAAGTAATGAACGATGGGCAAAACTAAATCTCGTTCAAGCTGAAAGCAGAGGAATGGGTAATTTTTCTAAACCTGCTAACAGCCTTCGAGTTGTCTCTACCACGCGTCCGAAACTTCATGTTGAGACTTTTAGTCATTTACTTGGAAGCAAAGCTATGCAAAGAACTCAATCAAGTCAACGTGTTGGAAAGAACAATGATTCTCCATTAGTGGTCGCTGGTCTTCCTTTAAACCGGTCAAGAAGTCATAATTCTGCTATGGATAGTAATAACACTTTACCTGCTTCATTTTTAAAAGAATTAGAAAAAAAGCATCCTCTTCAACATTCTTGGTAATGTTTAAAATTATTTTATTATTTTATTTTACTTTATTTTATTTTATTTTATTTTTTTTACTAAACTTTGTAATTACTACTTTTTTATAGGACAATGTACTATGATAGTAAACCAGTTATGACTCCCGGTCCTAAAACACCAACAGGAATGTTATCGTATGAAGAAAATTTACAAACTATTGGTACTTTCGACACGGTAATTATGATGTAAACGTTATTTATTTATTTATTTATTTTTATTTTTTAATTTATCTATTTATTAACTTTATCAATTTTTAATTTCTCTATTTGTTAATTTATGTTTATATGTTGTTTATTTTCATTCCCCTTTTCTTTTTTAAAAGGTCGAAACTTTTTGTAGATACTTTAACTGGGTAAAAAAGCCCAGTCAACTGGAATTGAATACGAACTTTCATATATTTAAAGACAAAATTAAACCAATGTGGGAAGATCCAGCTAATGCTAATGTATGAATTATATTTATTATTATCTTGATATAAATTTCAATCACTTAAGTAATCCCTGATCTTTTTAGGGTGGAAAATGGGTAATCTCTATGAGAAATCCCCCATTGCTCGATCGTTGTTGGACTTGGCTCGTATGTGCGTTGGTTGGTGAAGAATTAGATGAAAATGATGATATTTGTGGTGCAGGTATATTTATTATTTTCTTTAAATATTATCGTTTATTATAAATTCTACGCATTTATTATATAATTATATTCCTATTTTATATAGTAATGTCTCGTAGGATTAGAGGCGATCGTATTGCCGTATGGGTTAGAGATAAAGATAATGTTGGTGTAATTAACGGCATTGGGTATGTCAATAGTTATTTATATTATTACTTTTTTTTTTTTTATTATTACTTTTTTTTTTTTATATTATTACTTTTTTTTTGTTTTTATATTATTACTTTTTTGTTTTTTATATTATTACTTAAAAAAAAAAACCAAACTAATAATAATAATAATAATTTATCAATCTTTAGCCGACGTTTATTAAAAATTCTCGATTTACAAAACGAAAAGGGAATTGGGATGGATTTTCAGGTACTTTTGATAATCTCAATTTTGTGCTCACATAATTTTTTTTTTTCTTAAATCTTGTTATACCTAATTTTTCCTCTAAATATTTTTAGTTTAATGAAGATGCCTTGAAATCTGGTACATCATATAATAATCGTGTATACTTATCTCTTGAGAGTCTTAAACAAGAATTAGAAAATGAAGAAAGGGCTAGACTAGAAGAACTTGCTAAATCTGCAAAAAGACAAAGCATGACTCTTGATGACAGTAAAACTGATACTACTGTAACAACTCCAGATATTACCACAACTCCAGATATTATTGCCACAACTCCAGATATCATCACAACAACTCCAGATATTATCACAACTCCAGATATTACCACAACAACTCCAGATATTATCACAACTAAGCTTGTTGGTGAAACTATATAACGCATTTCATTCAGGGATTTTACCGAATATGGGCAGTGTCGATCATATATGCCGATTAGATGTTTTTAGCCATTTCTGGTACACATAAATTGCGTGATGTCATATGTAAATTGGCAAATAAAATCACGGCTTCGAAAAATCAAAAAAATTGCTTCAACATGATAACGTATACGTAATACAAAATATTCATTAATAAATAATCATTCAATTTTTCCCATATTTAGAAGTTACTTAAAATTTTACGCTATGATCAATTTTATTTAGTATATCATGATCAATTTACTTAGTAGAAAAATTTAATTTTACCCATTTTTTATAAATATTAAAAATTAGCCAATTTCTATTTGTACACGGTAATATCAAAACCAACCGATATCTCAAATTTTTGATTATAAACCCTTCTTTTTACTTTTAAGAAAAATTTCTTGCAAAATTTTGGTATAAACTATACCTCACCCATTCCCTTACCTTAATCATAAGCAATGGTACAATTTTCGTTCGTAAAAATCGGTTTGATTGGCATGTTACACGAATTTGAAATTATAGAATTAATAAATTAATATTGTCAATTTAATTTTTAATTTTATTAAAAATTTTAATATTATTTTTAAAAAATAAATATAAATTATTTATACTAAAATAAATTATAAAATTTTATTCAATTATATATTATAGATTTTATTTTTACTTATGTGATATATTACCACTCAGATCATTGTAATATTAAATCATAAAAGTAATGTGTTAAGGTTAACATTAGATTGGAGTTAGACGTGACTTTAGGAAAGAGTTTTTAATCTAAACTTTTTTTAATTAAAGCATAAGCGAAGCAGCATGATAGACAATCTTTGTTATATAAGTTTATCAAATTTGAAATTTGTGATTCACCTAATAAAAATCTAGAATCGTCAATTACATGAAGTTAAATAATTGGTTATTTTCTAACAAATGATAGTTGCCAATCACATTTATTATAATCGATAACAATCTTTAAATTTTTTATTTTACTAAATTAAAGATATCTTGTAATTTAGCAACTGAATTTAATAATTTTTATATTGTTTAATTTTTTTTTTTTAATAACATTAGAGTAGAAACTTTATTACATATATATAGAAACAAAAAGTTTTTAAGTTTAAAAATTTCTAATTACATTTGTGCTACAAGAAGGCTCTCAATGTAACATTACATCACCTATTTTCTATGAATGTTATTTACTAAATTATCTAAGTTAGAATAAGCTGAAAAAAACCTAAATATTCAATTTATTTTATTGAATATTATAAAAATTGTTATATATAAGTTTATAAAATATTATTAATAATCTAATCTTTAATTTTTGTATATATTTATTTTATTAAAAATTTCAGTTTCTTTATAAATTTATTATTAATACTCAAAGGTAGCGTATATATAAATTATTTTTCATATTATTTAAATAGTATAATAGATTTTTATATAGTAAATTAAAATATATTATTAATAAAACTTTTTATTTTTTAATTAATTTTTATTAAAATTCAATAATACAACTAATATTTCATAAATGCATTCTTTTGAAGCTATAAGCAAAATTTTTAAACATGTATATTTGAAGAGAATATGCATTTATGAAGAATATTTTATTAAGTGTTTTATATGCTTAAAACTAAAAATTAGTATGCATTTAAAAAAAGTATATATAATATATATATTTATAAAAATTAACTATATATAGATCTAAATAAGTTATTTATTTATTTTTTATTTTATTTTTTCCCTTAGACAGTCACACTAGTACTTTATTAAGATTTTTGCAATTGCTACAATTACATAAAACTACCTAACAAATAAGTCTAGCATCACCCGGCCACCCTAATGGCGTCTAAGTGCAACCTGTCGCATTACTTTAAGCAGAAGTAAATTGCTCGTCTGACTACTTAAAGTCCATAATGAAAGAATCTTCCTCCTTTCACGACAAGCTCCAAAATTGTCTTCCTAGCTTCATCTTTATTCATTTTTTCCTCTTCTTTAATTATCGAGCAAGAGGATTCTATAATCCTTGCCTAAAAAACAACAGGATATAAGAAAGAAAAACTAAAAGGAATTAAAAAAGGGGGGACTAACTACAAAACCTAAACGTAAACCAAAAGAAAAAAGAAAAAGATAAAAAAAAGAAGAATAAACAAAAAACAAAAAACATGAAAGCACTATTTTTGCCTGTACTAGGCTTTAAAAATTCTATATAATACTAAATAAAGAATACACCACATTTACTTTATCTCCGTATTATAATATATTCCATTTATTACATGGGGAGAATGATCGAAGTTTTTATTTTTCTCTTGAGTTTGACATATATCATCCATTATAGATCCGGTACTCGTCTCGTGGTTTTCTCGTAACTAACATTCCCAATTTGGGAAGATAAAAAATGCCGATTCTTTGAAGGAAGTATGTCAGATTTTTCACTTTTTGGTAAAAATTCTAAAAGAAAAATCCAGTAATGAGAGCAGAAAGGAGAGCCAACTTGAAAAGGAGTTGTAGAAGTTACGTTATATAGAATATTATATTAAATCAAGTAACTATTTAGGCCTAAGCCTTTATAGTACTTGACAGAGCTCCAGAGCTTATCTACTACTTCTTTGCTTGGTAGTACTTGAGTTTTACCAAGGGACTTCACTTACAAGGGTTCGAACCTTTTTCAGCTCTTTTCAGTTACAATCAAGCATGCAGTGAATAGTCTCTCTAGTTATTCTAAAGTAGAGTTTTGTTATATTTAAATATAATAACTATATAGTTTTCGTAGGTCAGACTTTTGGAAAAAGTTGGTGTGAGGGATCGTCAGAAAGAGTTGTTGATTATTGATTACATTAATAAGTTATTTATTATTATTATTATTATTTTTTTATTATTAAAGGTTATACTTTATACTTTTTTTTTTTTTTTTCATACTTTATACTAAATTTTTATTAACTTAATAGATTTTACAGAGAAAAGAATACAACTAGTCATATATGCAACTTTTAGTTGTCTATTTAAATAGTCTGCTCTAAGGTTCTACACTAGATGCTATACTTATAATCTATTAAAAAATTATCAATTTTAAACTTTCTAATTATTTGCTTCATTATTTATAAACATTACTATATACTAGTCAAATATAAAAAAATCAATTGCTAATTAAAATAGTTGATTTAATCTGAATTTAACTATTAATTATTAGCAGATTTTATACTGAATAACAAGTCAAAATCAGTAGTTAATTAACAATCAATTGCTAATAACATTCAATATACATTTAGCTAATTAATTAATGAACAAGTTCAAACTGAATCAGTCATTTTAATTAGTAATCGAATAATATAATAAATTGACTTATAATTAGCAGTTGATTACAAATTTTTTTTTTTTTTTTTTTTAAGGTGATCTCTTTAGTCTTTTGATTTTTATTAATCACTTATTGATATTGTGGTTCAATGAACCACTACAGAAGAGTGTACAATTGGCTACATGTATAACTTTTCTATATTACCTATTTAAGAAGTCTGCCCGAATGTTTTCTACCAATTGCTATACCTAATACCTCTGCTTGGGTGTTCTACTTTAAACCCTTTGAACCTGTAACCTGTATTAACATTACTGGATTATATTCAGATGCTCATATTATCATCTCAACCTTAGGACTAATTTATTCTCAAGGTAAACCCCTTAGAGCCTTCTGTACCTATTTTTACATCTGATCTAGGTATCACTATGGCAGAACCAACACTTGCAGTCAGAGCTAACTATTAAATCACTATGCTTTTGTAGAGTTTACTTAGACTCTAGCATCTACTTCACAGCATAACCCTGGTACTTTAGTATACCTCTGCCTTTTCACCTGCCTTTTTACCAAACTTCCAATTCAGATAGCCTATATAGGACTACAACCAGTCCATTAGTATATTGGATCGGCCTGATATCCTTTTCCTTTGGTTTGTTTCAGTAGTTTGGTTAGTGGTACTTCTGAAACTTCCTAACCTGAAAGTTTTTGCCCATCTGGCTACTAGGACTAGGTACTAGACCTAGATATCTGTTTCACCAGACTAGTCTTTATAGTAGAGCCATCGAAGATCCAGCTACCTCTCTACTCAAGTCTTCTCAAATAGACTTCTTGTTACCTAATTTCAATAGATTTACACAGCTACAAGAACTTATTTAGTGTTTGCATCACCCGATATGTCAGTTTGCATTCCTGTGTATAACTTCAACATTGCACAAATGCCCCATGACCTGCCAGTCATGCTGGTGCAACTACTATTACAGGTATTCTAATCCAACCATTAGTAACAGTTGCCATAATACAAATATTACATAGGTGATTATTCAAATTTTTACTGTTTATAGAATTTGAACACCCAACCTACCACTTGGGGGGTTGACAACCTGACTACTTCACTAGGTTACCACACCTCTTGCAGTTAATTACTAATAACATTCAGCTCAAATATAAAAATTTAATGTTCAAATTTTGAGCAAATCTTAATTTATTTAGAATTTGGGTATTAAATTTTAAAAACAAAATTTATACTAAATATATATTACTATATACATAAATTAAAACTAATTTATTAAAAATATTCAAAACTTGTTATTGTAATAAAATTTACTAAAAACTAGCAAGTTGTAGTAATTTTAAATACATGAATGTCAAGTAGAAGATCTTTTATTTAAAAGGAAATAAAATAAATAAAAATAACTAAAAATAAGAAATAAATATTTAAAATGGTATTTAAATTCAATAGACTCCTAGATACTATAAGGATTTTTATGATAAATTAGTTGTAGGAAAGATTTGACCTATTGTCCTTTTTGTATTAGCCAGGCTTAACAAATAGTTTACTCTTTACAAAGATTACCTATGCTAAACTTAGAAGTATCCTAAGACACTAAAAGAGATAATTAGCAACAGATAATCAGACTGTTCTAAACTATATATAGATTTTTAAATTCTAATAACATAAAGCTAGTACTTGCCA